CGACACCACAAACACAACTCTTTTCCCTCCAACAGCCTCTCCTGCTCAAAAAAAAAAAAAAAAAAAATTGGTGGGTGCGCATTTAAAAAGGTTTTTTTTGGTGGGAAAAAATTTTTTAAATTCCCAAAATTTCCAAAATTTTTACCCCCCCCCCCCCCCAAATTGGGAAAGCTTCTATCACCATTTCATGATCTCGATGGGCAGCTTCAAGTATGCTTTGTTTGTTTGTTTGTTTTTGTCCGTTCCATTCCATTTTTTCCCAAACACTCAGTAGGGGAAAAAGAAAGAGACAAACACAAATGACACAAAGTTCATAAGACTGTAAAGGAAGGAAAACAAAAGCTTAATAGATCTCTGCGTAGTCTGTTAACTTCCAGTAGAATAGCTAGTACTCTGTAAAAATCTGGCGTCTGTTCATGTCTTGTGACTGGCAGAGACTGTAGCATGATCATCTCAGAAAACCCGTTGGTTGCTTGAAGCATTTCACCATGTATCAAAACTCAATACAAAAATATATATAATGCCTTTGTTTGTTAATAAATAACAAATCCTGAGCCCAACCTCCATTCAATTCCCCTGAATGGAGGTTCCACTGTAATAATCTTTATGTGTTTATCGAAATAACAATCAAGAAATGGTCCTTCGTTTTGCGATAGAGGACACTAGGATTTCCAGACTTATGCGTGACGCTGTATTTAGCTGGCGGCCGGGAAAGCTCTTATGTGAGTTTAAAACGTTACCTATTTTTTGAGAGTTGTCATCTAAACATTCCTTGTCTCAGAATAAATATTACTTTAAAATTTATGAGTTCCTCAAGCAATAAACTCAAGCATAAATAGGGAAACTCAGAAACAGATGTTTCTGTTGCTTTCAGGGGCCATACTTGTGCTCCTCAAAGGGACACCAACATGGCGTCTCCATACAAAGCTTTATAAATTTGGGTAAGACGTTTTTTTGCCGAATATCTCGCATATGAAATATCGTAGAGACCTGATTCTTGGCGAGGCTTTTTGTATATTTATTTTCTTTCATTTTCCAGATTCTGGACTGTCTCTATTGAATGATTTGCGTTTAATTTTTGATGGTGTGACAGTGAAAACAGAGAATTAAACGTAATATGAGAAGGAATACCCAAATCACAGGGATACCCAAATCAACCATAGCGCCTCGATTTGATTAGAAGCGAAATACGATAAGAATATTAATAAAACACGAACGCTGCAACCTGAGATGTTTGAGTGGGACTTATAAACTCAACTTGAGCAGCTGCTTTCGTTTGCTCGTCTTGATAGTGTATCCAACTAATTGTAAACGTCGAAGTTAAAGTTAAATTTCGGATAAAAACAACGATTGTAAAGGAAACTCAAGTCCATGGCGTGACGTAACCTTTTTTTGCTTCCGCTTGAGTTTGTCACGTGCTTTGGACTAGATGATTCTTGGGGCGAGGTTAATATACCTGTGTGACTGCTCGACTTCTCTTCAGTGAGAAAAGTTTCGTTTTGCGATCACTGCCGAGAGTGCCGGTGAGTCTATCCATAAAGTCAGCCCAAAAGAAGCTAATACGTCACAGACGATCACAAGATGTTCATTTCGGTTGGATCACTGCTGCTGCTGCTTCAGCTACTCGCTGGTGCAGGTAAGCTCGTTAAAGAAATTTATTATTTCATCTCTTTCTAGGGTAAATTTACACGTATATTTTCAATCAATTAGCAACGAGTGGTAGTAGTAAACAATCGCTTTGGACTTGAAGAATGAAATGAAAATATCTAAATGGTCTAGAGGCGCGCCAAATTATGAGGTTTTTTCTTTGAATTCATGTAAAGATGATGTAACGAAAGTGCCTTTTGTTAATATCAATCTAAACGGAAGTTAGCTAAATAAATATTCATTAGATAAATTAATGTAATCACAGCGTTTAATAGCTTGAGTAGTCGTAAAGCTCTTTGGAAGCCTGGGGGCTGAAAATGAATAATGAATAAGAATAACAGGAATTTTGTCTTTAGAAAATGCCTGTTTTTATTTCCTTTGACCAGAAAAATATACATATTTTGGGGAGTTGGAATAATGAAACAACGAGAACTTTTGATCGGGTACAACGTAATTATGAACACCCCATTTTTCGTCCTCATCCCTCGAAGAAATGTTGACAGCTAAATAAGCCATCTCGATATCTACTGATTTTCGTTCTTTTCTTCGCCGGTTGAACGATATCTTTTAAAAACTGTTGAAAAAAAATCTTTGGTTATATCAAGAACATAATTAGTTATTGTTTCCTTATCTTTCCGAGAAGTCGATATTCCCAAACCGTGAAAAAAAGCTTTGTCTGAATACAAACCGGTTACTTTTTTTTTGATATCATGATCCTGTCGGAAACCAAGGAGTTCGTACATGTAATTTCTGTACAAGATAGTTAATGGTTGCAGATTATGTGCAAACGAAACCCGTTGCAGTTTCGTTATTACAGCTTTATCTTTCCACAATCAACATTAACATAACATCACCCTATATAGGGTAACCCAAGACAGTCTTGATATTTAGATTCCACGCTGTTTACTATGGATTCCAGTACTGGATTTCGAACTGGGTATTCTGGATTCTAATCGTTACCGGGATTATAAATTCATTAAGTTGAACTCCGGATTCCAAAGCCCAGGTTTCCTATTCGACGAGCACAAATTCATCCGCCTACATTACATGGGGCGAATAACATTAGAAGTACTATTTGAATCAATTTGTCTGAACACGTAAACGATCTATCCTTACTTCTGTCAGTTACGAGAATTAAACATTGAAGTGAGACAACTACCCAAGACTTTTGAGACCATCTAAACACTGTTGTTGTTTCAGCTTCTTTTTCTGTACAGATTTTTTCCTCCTTCACGTTTTAAACTTCAAGCATTGTTTTTACATTATTGTTAGTATTAGGCCGGCTTGCAAAAGAACGAGAGCTAATCACGGCAAACCACATCCGAATCGTTGTGCACAAGATATTAATTTTCCCTCATATAAATCGCAGCAATTTAGTAATCAATATACATTTTATATAAAACTGCAACATACAAGTCGAAATTTTGCGTAAGTACCTTAACTTAGGAGTCTTTAAGTTTCAGCAGCTAATCTTTAGACTATTTGGTTTCCATACTTTTTTTTAGTGTTTCCTCATCATCCCAGATTTTACAGATATGTTAGGATAATCCCAGTGTCAACCCCAGACACTATTTTTGTTTATAATGGGAAAGACTAGAGTTTAGCAGTTAGAAGATTGGTGAACGAGCAAATGATTCAACATCGCCAACAGTTAAGGTTTCATAATATCAAGAATGATCGCCAACAATTGCAAAAATCTAGTTTTCGTCTGAAAAGTGGAAACGTTCTGAATCTCCGGTTTGTCCGCAACCATCCCAAATTATCAGGGATATATCAGGCAAAATTCTGGGACTTTTGGGAAACAGATAAAAATCCTTATTGTCTGGGTTTTCTGTGATACGAAAACCAGGCTTACTGATTTTTGACTGTAATGTCAGCCTCACCGATGGCGTCAGGACCCCTGGTAAAATTACGATAACCCCACCTGACTCCACTTGGCACAGTTTCATAATAATAATAATAATAATAATAATAATAATAATAATAATAATAATAATAATAATAATAATAATAATAGTCTTTATTAAAAACCAATAATGCATCAACCGTGCCTTATTTACAATGAATATAAAATATGAAACAAATTAAGATAAAAAATACAACTAGCTACTAATGGCAGATAATGCTAAAAAGACATCTGTTTACAAAAGTGGATTTAAAACGTGAAGTACGAACTCTAGGTAATATGTAATCATGGCCCCTGCTGCGTAA